TTAGTTACATGAGCTCGCTGTAATTTTTCCACATTTTTTAAATAGCACCACCCCTCCTGGAATACTAAAACAGTCTTCCCGTGAACAAGTTAACATCCCAAATTTCGTGTCGGTAGTCCTATGATCGTGCTTTTCTTGGTGGGCTACGATATCACAGAGGGCGCTTTTGGGGAATTAAGAAATAGTCTTCCTTGTATGAGTTATCTTTATATTTCTCAAAAGGCCAATCAGGAAAGCAATTGTGTTTTTCTTTTATTTCACTTCTACAACAAACCTATTATTACATAGTTTTCAGGCAACATATATCAAAACGTTTCTTGTTTAATGTTTACTTGTGTGTTTTTCTCTTTTCTTTTTTGAACATTTTTACGCATACGTTATTATTTTTTTACGAATGCTTTGTTGAAAAAAAATCGCAAATTGTTGTTTTCGTAGATGCTCAAAACGAGTAATGAATGAACCAGTTTTAACGTTAACTAACTTATTTAGCCATTCAGAGGCCTTAGATTTGTCTTCACTTGTGACGTAGGCTAGTAGTACAAGGTCAAGCTGGTCTCCTATATAAAATCCTACTTATATAGAGCACTGGTCCCTTTAGCTGTCAGTGAAAGAGAAGACCAAGTGGGGGTCAGAGACTCTCTTGCTAGTTTTATTCTATATTCTATAAGCATATCCCCTCATCCCCCTGATGTGTTATATATAGTCGTAATATTAACTAAAAAACTGAGTACAATAACTTCTGTTTGAAGTTGGGGGTGTTCAACGACACCATTTTGAGTCTTGTTGGGTTCAGATCTCGATCGACATGTGGCTCAGGTAAGTTTTACCCTATTTATTTCGAAAAGTTCATATTCACACGTATTCTTGCTTGGTGAAAGAAATCCATCTCCAATTCTTGTATTCAAAACTTTGTTGCCCAGCTGAAAAATGCATGATTGTTTATACACACTTATTCTCATAACTTTCCTGTATATTCTTGCGAAGATTTTTATATAGGGCACCGTCTTCGAATGTTCAATCACTTCTAGGCAAAGTTCTGCCGTTCACATTGTTATCCTTCTGCAGCAAGACTGCTTCTTTGTATTACACTGAAAGTCTTTCGAAGTCGAAATGAAGCTGTTTTGTTTGCACTTAAGCAAAGCTTTCGTGAAACATTTAACATGTGCAAACTAATCAGTGTAATAACTAAAGGTTTAACAATAAATCATTTATTTTGAGTTAGTTATTAGGAAATCATTATTTAAACATCGAAAGCAAAGCTGAACATGACATCTAAGAACTTGACAGAGGTTCCGTTTAATGTTACAGAAGTAAATGTTATTTCCTGCATTAAAATGTTCAATTTTTGGAGCATAACCTAGTCTTGGAAAATGCAGCGAGTAACATCCAGTTTCAGTTATTATTACTGCTTGATGTATCTTCCAACTGACAGTTCTTTGCTTCCACCAGTTTTTAATAAATAAAACTGGTGGAAGCAAATAACCCTTAATTCCATGTGCATCTAAACCCCCACTTGGTCAAAATTATATATTTAAACAAAGTGAATTGATTTTTCTATCTGAATCTCCTATCTGAAAACGTTGTGGTTGTTGTTCTAGAAATTATATATTTAAACAAAGTGAATTGATTTTTCTATCTAAATCTCCTATCTGAAAACGTTGTGGTTGTTGTTCCAGAAATTATATATTTAACCAAAGTGAATTGATTTTTCTATGGTTTCGTTAATAGAGAATCTCCCATCTGAAAACGTTGTGGTTGTTGTTCTAGAAATTGTGTATTTAAACAAAGTGAATTGATTTTTCTATGGTTTCGTTAATAGAGAATCTCCTATCTGAAAACGTTGTGGTTGTTGTTCTAGAAATTATATATTTAAACAAAGTGAATTGATTTTTCTATGGTTTCGTTAATAGAGAATCTCCTATCTGAAAACGTTGTGGTTGTTGTTCTAGAAATACTTGATTAACCTATCCTTTAATCAAGAAATGTTAGGTTAGGTTAGGTCGATACAGGTTTAGTTGCATAAAACCAGAAGTTGTTAGAGACTTCCTACTAAACGCTACAGTGCATACACACATATAACTTACATCATACTATGTATACACATAGCCTGGTCTTCACTTTACTTTCAACATCAGCTCTTTGTACGTTCAGACCCCCCCCCTTCAATTTTAGTTCCATGGTGGGTCACCGGTAGGTTTATGGACTTCCAACGTTAAAATTCGGGGTTCGCTTTTCCTCTATGGTCAGAGTGCATAAATCATATTGTTTAGCCTTGTACGGGGAAAACAACAATAACAGTCCTCCTTACTTACGTGAACAGCGCACTCTGTAAACATATCACTTTCTTTCTCTCCTTCTTCGTGAACAGCGCACTCTATCTCTTTAGAAATCAGTTTTATTTTCTTCCTTTTTACATGAATAGTACACTCTATCTGTCTATCTAAATGTTACTTTCTTTCATCCTTTCTAACATGAGCAGAGCACTCTGTTTAGACACCAGTTTTCTTTTTTCTCTTCTTACATGAACAGCGCACTCAATGTGTTTAGAAACCAGTTTAGTTTTCCCTTCTTACATTAACAATGCATTCTGTCTGTTTAGAAACCAGTTTCATTTTTCCCTTTTTACATGAATAGTGTACTCTATCTGTTTAGAAACCAGTTTTCTTTTCCCCCTTCTTACATGAACAGCGCACTTTATGTCTAAAAATATCTTTCTTCTCATCTTACATGAACAGCGCACTCTATGTGTCTAAAAATCTCTTTCTTCCCATCTTACATGAACAGTGCACTCTGTGTCTAAACATCTCTTTCTTCCCTTCTTACATCAACAGTGCACTCTATCTGTTTAGAAACCAGTTTCTTTTTCCCCTTCTTACATGAACAGCGCACTCTATGTCCAAAAATCTCTTTCTTCCCATCTTACATGAACAGCGCAATCTATGTGTCTAAAAATCTCTTTCTTCCCATCTTACATGAACAGTGCACTCTGTGTCTAAAAATCTCTTTCTTCCCTTCTTACTTCAACAGTGCACTATCTCTGTTTAGAAACCAGTTTTCTCTCCTCCATCCTCTTTGAATGTACTTACGAGAAGTCTAAGTAAACCAGTTTTCACTTCCTTCTTAAGTGAACTCTCTTTTTGTAAGTAAACCAGTTTCCTCCTTTCTTGTCTCAATTCTTCCCTTATTTCAGCATGAACCGTTCTTTTTACTCTTCTACAAGTAAGTAGATAGAAATCTCAGTAGATACAAACCTGTTTTGCAATGTACACACAATTTTAGTTCACCTAGATGTTATTTTCATCTTGATAAAAGAAAGCTACTTGCTAGGAACAGGAAATGGCGCGCACGACTAGCCTACTAATGTTTGTATTTGCTACATTTTATATTATGAAAGCGAAACAAAGAAAGTGAAGGTGACTGACTTCTCTAGTGGTTATCACACGAAATAAGACGTTTGCTTTGTTGCAGTGATTTTGTAAATTAGGGTTTAGAGTAAACTTTGCGTCTGGATTGTACTTATGCTTCTTTTTTTCAACGCCAAAGAAAAGCAAGCGGTGATAATAGCATCAGTTTTTATGCTTCCACAACTACAAGGATAACCAGTTCTTGAGATAAAGGTCAATGTACTTTATTCAAAACAGGAATGTACAAACGTCAAACGAGCTAAATAAAAATGTACTAAAATACTGTGGGAGACTTCTAGTTCTGAGTGAAGCCTAATGGTGCATTTCGACGAGAAAGGTACTGCAGAATTTCTTTTACAGGATTAATTAACTTGAATAATTCCGAGCCCCCTATTTCACTATGATCGACTTATGAGAGATTAATTGCACACGATGAAAATAACACGTCAGCTGTTTTCTGAAAAAAAGTGACCAATGAAAACCATAGGACTGTAGATTTTGCGCAATCACAGCATCCGGTGTCGATTTCCAGTATCATTATCTACAAAATGGATGTTGACGAATCTATCCAGTTTTAGATATAAACAAAACACAGGTGTAATTTCAAAAATAAGCAGGCAATGAATATCAAATCTACATTATACAACAAAGATATTTTCGTAGCCTAATCAGCAAGATCTCAGAAGAAGAAAATTGACGCTCGTTCTCCCTGCAATTTCGCCCACATTGCATTGAAACTATTAATTCCGATTTGACGCGTTTTCCCACTGGATACATTCAGGTGTTAAGGCACCAATAGCAGATAGGCATAATATAACGACTGGATTATTCGGACAGGATTATCCCAAATGGAGCATCGCTTGGGTTTTTCTTTCGTATGATGGAAAAATCCGAGGGATATTCCGATTAAAGACTATCCGTTATAGGGCTGCGGTATGGTTGCATCTGTTAATAATATTATTATTTTAAATCCAATACCAAGAAAACAGCTATAGGTGCATGTATGTATATATATATATATATGTGTGTGTGTGTGTGTGTGTGTGTATGTAATAACATAACAGTTTTTATTTTAGGAAGGCCTCATCCATATTTGGCATGATATGTACCTCATTAAATTCAAATATTTCAAAATGTAAAATGGAAATTCTCTAACGAAATATCTACCTGATATTTTAAAAAGAACTAGGCTAAAATGTAAACAATCTGTTACATCTAAAAATTTAACATTTATATAACCTATTGTTACTTAACTATTCATAACACTATCTTAAAAACAATCACTTGTATGGTTTTAATGGAAGGCTGATAATGAGAGGCAATTATAACACGTTCCTGTTAGGGATATTCCTGAGAGAAATGTCCGTGAAAGAACTAACGTTTTTATTTGTTTGTTTGCTTGTTGTTAAGCGCAAAACTACACAATGGGCTATCTGTTTCTGTGCCCACCACGGGTATCGAAACCCTGTTTTTAGCGTTATAAGCCATCAGACATACTACTGAGCCACTGGAGGGAATAAAGTTTTGAAAGTACTTGAATGAACTAAAATTACGTAGAGTTTTTTTTTTTGTAAAGATATAGTTAGTTTTGTCTTAACTTTATTTTTTAGCATTCAAAACTACATTACAGAATAGACGCAGCGATAATCGTAAGAATACAGTATTATCTGAGAAATTTAATTGTGAGTTCTAAATATAATGTTTGTTTTTGTTTGTTTGTTTTTGAATTTCGCGCAAAGCTACACGAGGGCTATCTGCGCTAGCCGTCCCAACTTTAGCAGTGTAAGACTAGAGGGAAGGCAACTAGTCATCACCACCCACCGCCAACTCTTTTTACCAACGAAAAGTGGGATTGACCGTCACATTATAACACCCCCCACGGCTGAAAGGGCGAGCATGTTTGGTGTGACGGGGATTCGAACCCGCAGACTGCGAGTCGAGCGCCCTAACCACCTGACCATGCCGGGCCTCTCTAAATGTAATGAGAAATAATGTGGAAGTTGATTGTTTTTGGAACGATATTTTACTTTGTATTTATGGCAAAGCTATAAAAGCTACCTGCCGCCGTTCCTAATTCTGAATGCTGACCAGAGGGAAGGCACCCTACTACTCACTATCTATGCTAAGGGATTGAATGTCTATATTATAACGCACCATCAGCTTAAAGTGTGAGGAATATTTAGTGGTATCGCGCGGATTCGAACCCATCTAGAGCTGTACCACTTGTATTCCAAAAAATAACGTAGACAATATAAAGCCCCTCAGTGGATTAGCGGTAAGTCTGACAACTTATAATGTAAAATCCTGGTTTCGATACCCGTGGCGGACACAATACAGACAGCCTACTGTGAAACTTTGTGCTCAATAACAAACAAACAAAGTCTAGAGCTGTACCACTTGTATTCCAAAAAATAACGTAGACAATATAAAGCCCCTCAGTGGATTAGCGGTAAGTCTGACAACTTATAACGTAGAATCCGGGTTTCGATACCCGTGGTGGACACAATACAGACAGCCAAGTTAATATCAAATATTGTAGTTCTTTATTGAGTACTCAGCTTCATTTTGTGGGTGATCTGTTTTTTCTTGTCCCCCTTCCCCTTGTAGCAAAGGGGTAAAGTTGTGGGCTCATTACGCTAAAAATGAGGATTCGATATCCTCGATGGGCTCAACACAGATAACCCATTGTATAGCTTTGCGCTTAAAAAAGTATTTAAAAAAAAAATTGATTTTTTTTTGTATGGTATAAAATTACAGTCAATTCGTACTGTAGAGCCTAACTTTGACGAATTTGGTTATATGTAAATGGCTACTATTATAGCAATGATTCCCACATAGGTTTTGAAATGGTGGGATAACGTAACAAAACTGACAGAGCTCATTTAGCATAGAATATTTTGACCATTCGCATTATGGGAAATTACAGCCAATTTCTGTTTAACATGTCCGAGAATATTGTCAACATTTCCTTAAACCTTTCAGTATTCGTCTACATTAACTGTCCAACAAGTAGGCATAGTACCTGTCAACTGCTATTAGTTCTAGTACACCTGAACGAAGAAACCTCTAGGTTTTGTATTTCTTATACAGTTATACTACCTCAGATGACGTCTGCAAGAGAAACAGGTTAGGACGACCAAGACAAGTTCTTAGGGTCGCAAGTCAACAACTTCATATAAAAAAGAATGCACTTAAGGGATGAAAAAACAAGACATCTAAATATAATAATAGACCTAGCTTTTTTTAAGTTTCCAATGTTTTGCCTGCTTTTGAGGTTTAATTATAACATTCAAGTGTAGTTTGTGCATATTCAACATGCCTGTAACCTGTCAAAGTTGCCAAACGTTGCATTAGGTCAAGATTCAAAGAAAAACCGGTTCTTTCCAAAGTTATTAAAGACACGCATATAAAAAACGTGCTCCACTTACATTTAGTAATGGCTATACTCTTACTCAGCTAATCGGAAAGCTACTTAGAAATGTCTTTTTTTATTATTGTTTAATAAGTTCACGATGTATGGGGAGAAAAATACTAGGTCACTTTACAACAAAAAAAACCTTGTATTCAAAAACGGAAACTTTTTCACGGGTTATAAAGAACCCAACCCGGAATTTTTAGGACTGAAATAACAATAAGTTAACTACTTTAATCAGCATCCGACTTAATAAGTAATGATACAAAGATTATTAATAATTAAAATTATAATATCATAATCACTAGTTTACTTAGTTATTAAGAGAAGACGTAAAACGACATGCTTCCACGCGATTTCTTTGCATTCCACTATAACTTTAAGCAAATTTAATTAATTAACGCATTTCATGGGCTCTAATAAATTTGATCTAATACTTTAAGTGATTGAATAACGCTAGTCTCCTGACCTGGCATAGCCTGGTGGTTAGGACGTTCAACTCCTAATGGGCGAGTCGCAAGTTCGAATACTTTTTATCGAACAAGCTCGCCTTTTCGGGCGTGGTGGAGCTCTGACCTATCACAGTTAAATTAGGGACGGCTAGCGCAGATATCCCTCGAGTAGCTTTGCGCGAAATCCAAAACAACCTTGTCTCCTACTGGCTCAAAGATAATTTAGAAAAAGTATAACGCTAAAATTCGGCATATCACTCAAGTTACAAGAATGCCTATCGTTGTCTATGCGATGCTGTTGAAACAGGCGCTGGGAAACTATCTTCATCGTACGATAGGTGGCATATGGAACCTCTCAAGGTGGTGTAGTGTGATTTGAAGTTTGGTCATAACAGCCTTACGACAGAGCCTTTTAGAATGGAAACTTCGCTGCAAAGCTTTCATTAAGATGCACGATTGTCAGACAGAATATGGCCGGACGTGGCGACATGAATTGTAACGACGTAGTGAGGCTCCAAAATCATTTTAATACAACGCACTCAATCTCTGTATAAAATAAAAGTATCTTTTGTGTGACTACTTTTCAGGTTTACAATTTTTGACCGATATAAACCAGACTTGACATGCGCTCTTGGGGGGGGGGCGTTCGGAGTTGACTTCTATATGTTCCTTGTATTATTCTACTGATCTCTACTAAGTAAAGTTGCAAAACACCCTTTACGTTAAACGAGTACATCAGGTATTAACTCCATATATGAAAATTGTGCTTGATTGAGTAAATCGCGGTTAGATTCGCACCTGTGATTATCTTATAAACCATTAGAAAGTATTTTGAAGAAGAAAAGAGTTCTAACAGATAAATAAGTTGTACACAGATAAATAAGTTATACAATTAAAAGAACGAACGTAGCTAAGATCAGGAATATTTTACATAAGTGCTAATTTTTCCCCCGCCTTTTTTCTTCGGTGACAAGACTTCGATAATGTAATCCAACATGTTTATGGTACACGTTTTTGTTGATTAAGTTTTAATCCACTTATTTGACTACAAATCAGCTATAGTAAAATAATGGAAGTAAAAGTGTTGAACATGTTTTTTATCATCTACCTGATATATATAAATATATAATATTTTC